AGAACCTTCTAAAGACAGAACATCTCTGCTATCCATCGATGAAGTCCCAGTTCCAGAGCCACCCCAGGAAGTCTTCCCAGACTGCAGGCCATGGGGACAGTGCTCAGAGCAACTCTTTGCTCCTGCCTAACCCTAGCTTCTGGAAGCTCTTCTCTGTGTGGCTTAGACCCACAGGCACCCAAACCTTCCACTCCCAGGCATCCTCATCCTCTGCCTCTATATCTGTGGGCTCAGGGTGCTCCAGCTCTGAAAGGAGCAGCTGGGCCCAGTGCTCCAGGTGTGAGCTGGTTCTGTAGATCCAAGAAGGACAGAGGCAGATGGAAAGGGCACTGTTCCATGGCTGTTGGAGCGGACTATCACTGATGACTCAGTATGAGCTTTCTGGTCATCATACTCTGCCCTCTCCTCCCCGCTCCTCTTCAGTCCTGTCTTCTCACTTGCTGCCCAGACACTCTCTGGACTCGAGCACTAGCTTTACTCCTCATGCCTGGAACAGCCATCACTCTGTGCTTTCCTCAGACACCCAGCTCCCAGCATTTAGCAAACCATTGGGAGGATTAGCTCAGCTGACAGGGTGGCTCTCTCACCTCCACAGGGACACCACACAGGCTAAAACACACACACACACACACAGACACACACACACACACACACACACACTCACACACAGACACACACACAAGCACAGGGACAGGACACAGCCCAGAAGCCCAGGACACAGGACAAGGGATCCAGTCCTCTGGACACTCCTGAGTGTCCCATTCACAGTGCCTATGTGGCCCATATGCCCGCCACCCAATGTCTTTTTCAGTGGTGCCATCTCCCCTATGTCCCTGGTATCATGCTGGGCAGGAGGGCATGGGCATGAGGCACCGTGTTCACAACTCCCTTGGCTCCTGCTCCCTGCAGGTCCTGGATGCCCAGAGGCTGATCGCGGCTTGAGAAGGAAAAGCATGGCTGGGCCAGCAGAATGCTCTGCACTGCTGACCCTGGGACCTGGCACGCTGGCTGCACTAGGGAGCAGGGGCAGAGGTGGACAGAGGCCCTGCTGAGGGGGGCGGTCACT